TAAGGAATGAGGGCCCAACTGATTTATACAAAATGTTCTACAGATTGTATAATGCAACAAAGAATGTGGCTCAGAAAATTGATATATTAATCGTAAGGTACTTGTGTTTTAGGCAGACAAAAATGAATTAATGATATACATCAAAAGGGAAGGTTTAGAGCAGTGGCTCCCGACCTTTTCTATACCCCACACCCCTAGAATGCTTCTGATACATTCTCACACCCCTTACAAAAGTTCAAAATAACGAATTATGTATATACACTATAATTTTGAAACTTCTAAACCCAAGTTTTCGCACCCCCTGGAATATCGTCTTGCACCCCAGGGGGTGCAAGCACTCCTGGTTGGGAACCCCTGGTTTAGAGCAAGTAGATTAATCTGTTTCTCGCAAAACTTAACACATGTAGGAAATTGAGTAAGTAAATTGAGTAATTGAGAAATTGAGTAAAAAGGTTTGTATACAACAGCATGTTTCTGTCTGCTTTGTTATAGAGGTAGTCCTTGACTTACGACCATTCATTCAGTGATCACTCAAAAGTTATAACAGTGCTGAACCAAAATGACATGTCTGGTTCTTAAAGTTATGGACTTTTCAATGCATCCACAGTCATGTAACCAAATTCAAATGCTTGGCAGCCTGCTTCCATTTATGAGAACACCTGCTCCTCCCACCTGCCTATTTCCACCTCCTGGGCTCTTTTAATCACCCTGTATAGCAACACTCTTTGGTGGCAGTTGCAGGATTGGGGCTGAAGTAGAAACCTGGGGCCTTCAGCCATAACATCCAGCTGCCACTGCTCCCAGGCCTCTACTTCAGCCCCAGCATCACTGCTGCCACTGAGAAATGGCATCTCAAGCCCCACAGCATGGCCAGCCGCCCCAGAATCACAGTGCAAAGCCTCAGTTGTTCCCAGTGCTCTGCATTCTGTAGGCCCTGCTGCACCCAGCTGCGCCCAGCTGACTTTTGCTGCCTTTCTTCTGCTGTTGATAAAGTGCATCTTTGGCATGGCTTTCTGACAGCAGCTGCTGGCCATGCCAGGCCTTTTCTCCAAAACTGCACTATTCTTCAAATAGTGTGCTCCATTTTCACGATCCTTAGAAAGCATTTTAAAAAGTTTCTGAGGTCTTCTGAAGCATTGTGAGAATGGGCCGCACTGTTTGGAGAAGAGCAAGCACCAGGCTTTCCTCATGAGATCTGGGGAAGATCATGTGGCTGGCTACCAGCTGCTTTAGGAAAGGCCAGGGTGGATATGCCTTATCCACAGCAGGAATAAGAAGACAATGAAGGTCAGCCGGGGTGTTGGAGTGCAGGGCAGCGAGGGCAGCTGCCTGGGGCTTCCTGGTTCAGCAGCTTTGACTCTGCTGTCGGGGCTTCCTGAAACAGCTAGAGTTTCCTAGGGCAGTGGCTTGTGCCACGGTTCCGGTTGGCAGTTTCACACTGTGTTGTGGCTCAAACTTCTTACAACTCCAGTATTGCAGTGTGCCAAGAAGCCTGAACTACAGCATGGCAAGCAGTCCCAGAGCTGCATGGTTCTGGGACTCCTTGCTGCTCCACAAGGCAGCGTGTAGGGTGGCCAATAGGGGAAGATGGAGGAAAGACAGGTGAGTAGGGGGAGTTGAAGAGGAGACAGTCCCTTACCTTACTATGGCATGGGGTTGGGAGAGACCAAGCCCAGAATGACATGGCTTCATGTGGGTATGCATATAGAGACCCATTATTTTCGGTTAACAATAGCAATGGGAAGTGACGGGATTGCTGAGTCTGAGCAATACGGTTATGTAACATCACACTTTACAACCATATTGCTTAGGAACAAAAATTCTGGTCCCAGTTCTGGTCTTTACTGCCCTAGCAGTTTATTTAGGAGAATATAAAAGCGCGCAGTCAGTCCACATGTGATTTGGCATAAAGACAGAGTTAAGGAATGTAGATGATGGGAAAGATCAAGAGAATTGTTGACCTTCATTGATCATGCAAAAGATAGAAATGAGAAATTGAAAGAACAAAAAGCAATTTACAAAGCCATATACTGTGTGTAGAAAGTGGAAGCATGGATAATTTGCAAGGGTAGAATGGTGCAGAATTACAGTAAACGGTTTGCATGTAAACTATTTTGAACTATGTTTCCTTATCTGTTTCTCAGCTCATACTTTTAATATCTTTGCCTTTCCATTTCCTATTCCTTTACTGTGCTTTGTATAACATTGATTTGTTAGAAAGGAATATGTTGAATATCTATGTGTGTGTGTGTATATATGTATATACGTGTGTGGTGTATGTATTGTGTGTGTAAGATGAAAAAGGAGTGGTCAACAAAAATATAGCCAGAGAAAGAGGAAAATGAGGCAAAGAAACTCAGATTCTTCAAAGCTATAGCCATTTACTGCCATTGGTCTTCACAGTGTTGGAAGTATTTATCATATTGCTATAATATTTGCTCTTTTCCACCTCTCTCAGCACATTTATTCTGTATGCAGGGAATAATTGCTTACCCTTAGGGTATAATCCCATTAGCTACTTGTAGTTTGATGAAGTAATTATGGTAATCCCTGTTGCTTGTGCTTTAGCTTTTATGAGACCACATGCAGATCATTCTATGTGACCTAAAAAGCCTATTTAAACAGTGTACTAACCTTGGAACAGATTACATTTAACTAACATCATTATGAAGTCTTTAAGCTCATTTACCTGGTTACTGATAAACAATTACATAGTATTTACATTTCTTTAATTAGGTTTCACCAAAAATTGCTTATTTCAATGAAGCATGTGATTTTAATTTATTATTACCAGTAAAGTAAAACTCAGTGCACTTTTATGAGTACCCCTTCAGGCTTTGCGGTTAGTATTGAATGATTAAGCCACAGAAATAAAAATAATGCTAGTGTTTTTTCTGCATTTTGGGGATTTATCATACATAAATGTTTTCATATTTGTAGGCATTTATATAAAAAAAATGATGGTATGTATGGATCTTTTTAAAACATAATTCCAGACCATAATTTAGCATTATACATCTGAATTAAAAAACAACTTTAATTTCCTTTCTGACTTTTGCATGCCTTCAAGAAGATTAGGGCTTTCATTTTTAAACCAGCCAGAATTCTTTATTAAGTCCAAATGCAGAATGAAGTCTGATTAGGTCAACAGTACTGGTCAACAAACTAGGTATAAAAGCCTTATGAAACAATCTTATTTCATAATCATAAATAAGATGTCAGTCTCAATTTCAATTTATTTTATTTTTTTATTTTTTTTATTTTAATAATTTTTATTATTTAAACCGACAAACAAAACAAAACAAAACATAATACACATATATACACAATATATATTTTAACATCAACTTCGTAACAGTAATCTTCTATTTATTTACATTTTCCCCCTTATTCTTCTTTAGAGTATTTATCCTTATTGCCCCATTATTTCTTATTTGCATTTTTCTTCTTTCATACATT